TAAATATCTCTCACGTTCGGTTCTATACTATTTGCTAAAACCGAATTCTTCCCAAGGAAACCGACAACGGTCAATTTCGTTGAGTCGAGGTATTTTGTCGATTGATGGCCGTTATTATATTTAAGAATTTATCTTATCGCGTGTTCACAAAACGAAGAAATCGTGGAGTCCACCGGACGTAACAGAAGAAAATGTGCTAAACATGATAAAGAAAAATCCAGGTACTTCTACAAGAAAAATTGGAAATGCTTTGAATGTTAGTAATAAAACTGTGTGGAAGATTTTGAAGGACAATTTGTTGTACCCATACCACATACAACGTGTTCATTTTTTCAACTGTTTATTTTGAACAATTCTTGTAATTTTCAATAATTTTGTTAAAAAACCTGTATCGCCTGTTATCTATGGAATAAAGCATTTTTTCGAAAATCATCAGAGAATAAAAAATTCTTAAAATAACCCAGTAAATAACCCCCTGAATTTTTGCCCTATATTTAGAGGAAACACCCTGTATATGATTGCGGTTGATAAAATGCCATTGACAACAATTGATAGTAAAGGTTTTCAATGGCTAATGAAAACAATTGTGCTTCTTTACAAGTTGCCAAGAAGTTGTAGAAGAACAATAACTAAATTGATAAAAGCCCAATATAAATTATTAAAAGAAAGTTTTATAATTAGAATTGAAAGAGCTATTTGTTATAGTCTTACTTGTGATAATTGGACAGATAACGCTAATCAAAGTTATCTCGGTGTTATAATACACTATTTAACAGAAGAAATTAAATTGAAAACTGGTTGCATTGGTGTTTTTTCTTTGTATAAAAATTACATTGCTGAATATCTCGCTGATTCTTTAAATACAGTTATCGAAGAATTTAAATTAGACCGTTCAAAGATTACGGCAATTATTACAGACAGCGCAGCAAATATCAAACTTGCGATAGAGAAAACAATGGGAAAGCAAAAACAGTTGTCTTGTTTTGCACATATTTTGTCCCATATTGTACCGGATACACTAATTAATATTCCTCAAGCACAAGAAATTATTAATAAAGTAAAGAAGATTGTTACAATTGTAAGAAGAAGTATTGTTGCATCAGATGAACTGAAAAATTTGCAAAAACGTGATGGAAAAACCGAAGGAACTATATTAAAATTAATACAAGACATAGTCACTCGGTGGAATTCCACATTTTATATGTTAAATAGATTTCTTGAGCTTGAACAATATATTTATCCGGTAATATCTAAGTGTGGTAATCCTCCAGATATGTTAATACGTGACGAAATTCAAATATTGAAAGAAATTGTATCATTAATGAAACCAATTAAAAACGTTATTACTGAAGTTAGTGGAGAATCACACCCAACTTGCAGCGTTATTATACCTTTAGTGCATTGCATGAAGGCCGCAATTTATTATAACAAATCTAATACAAAGATAGGAAATGCATTCAAAGAAAAACTTCTATCAGCAATTGAAAATCGATGCAAGAATTTTGAAAACAATGAAATAATGAGCATCTCCGCAATACTTGATCCTCGGTTTAAGAAATTACATTTTGAAAAAGCTCTAGCTGCAGCAACTGTGATATCTCGAATTGAATTGTTAGTAAAAAAAAAATCAACCCCACAGAATATGACAACAGAGAAAATGAATGTCATTTTTAATAAAGAATGTGATAACGTGTGGGGTTTTCACGATCATCATTTAGTAGCAAAAAATAATACTAATCCAAACGAAGATTTGAGCGAATTAAGACAGTATTTGAACCGGTCGTTGAACGTAAAAAAAATCCTGTTCAATACTGAAAATCGATGAAATATACTTTTCCAGTACTATATGAGCAAGCAATAAAATATATTAGCATCCTTGTCACTTCAGTGCCATCAGAAAGAATCTTTTCGCAAGCTGGTGATATTAAAAACGATGAAAGAAGCAGATTAATCGGTCAGCATCTAAATATGTTATTATTTCTTAGTTTGCTTGCTTTCGAAGATTGGGAGTTGGAATAAAATTATTTTCAATAGTTTTTGTTCATACTTTAATGACTTTTACTTTTTGTCAGCTTTGTTTATATTCTATATCTATATTCTCTATAACACTTTTTATTTCCACAATTTGTATTTTACCTTTTTTCTTTTTATATCTCATCTGTGTCATGTGATTGTACACATATTAACTGTATTTCATTTGTATGTGATTATTTCATAAAATAAAGAACAATAGAAGTGCATCAATATAAAATTTTATTTCTTCTTTTCTTCTTTAATTTCTAAATTTTCATTTCAATTTATTTATATAGAATAACTAATCTATGCAAATATATGCTAATTTTATAACATACATGTGTGTGACCAAGTAAATAAAAACTAAAAAATTATTTTTTATTTTCATTAATAAAACTGTAATATTTTCAGCAAAATTTACTACTGGATACTCTGGATAGTGGTGTATATTTTAATTAATAAATTGTATAATGCGAATTTTATAAAAAATACATATACGTAATGTATAACTTAATGTATAATAACTAAAATATAAAACACAAAAAATGTATGTATAATACTTTAAAACTTAAAAAATTAATTTAAAATGTAATAAAAATTTAAAAAATTAATCGATTAATTAAATCTTCGATAGTTTTGTAAATATATAATCGATGTTTTTTTCAATTTTTTTTATTTTAATCGATTTTTAAAACATCGATTTATTTATAAACATCGCCCATCTCTACGCGGGAGTCCGCCGCCACCACGTGGTCCGCCGCCGCCGCCATTTTTGAGCGCAGCGCCACCACGTTGGCAGTTCGGCCATTTTGATCAAAGATTCACATTCTCTTTCGACCACATGTTCTCTCTCTCCTTCCAACGCGTTGGAAGGTTCGCGTTCTCTCTCCCTCTCACCCGTTGGAATTTTTTTTTCATCGCAATAGAACGCCCTTTTTTATTTTAGTTTTTTAAGAAAACAGGAACAAGAAGAATAATATTTTAACACACGATGTATGTTTAATACACATTTATTTATGTAACGCATCATACACAATATTATTAGAAGCATAAGCTATTAGTTCACAATCCACGGGTGAAGCTTTGTCGTATATTTTACACAAAACATTTATCGCATCATATTTATTCGCAATAGAATTGTCGTGTAAGTAGCTTACAAAATACTGATATTTTTCGTTTACACACCAAATTTTTTGACTTAATTCAAAGTACACATGCTTGATACAGTGTTCAAAATCAAGCATGAAGAGCACGGTTAACGGCTTCATGTGCATACATGTATCACGTAAAGTTAATTTTACGGTATTCGACTCGTACATTTTTACAAGTTGTACGGTCAAATCGTGAATCTTTAGTGATAATGATGATACCTCAGCAGACTGCAAGAGTTGTTCGATGTCAGCACGTCTCTCGATAAACGCTTTCCAACCAGCATAAGGCAGAATTATTTGATTTCCTCGGTTGTCACCAATAAGCAGCTCAATAGAGGATACAGGTCCCACGCTGATTCCAACATCAAGATATTTGTAAGCTGTTGTTGTCAAAGTGAATCTGCTTCTCAAAATATGAGGCGTATACCGAGGTCTCGAGATATGAAACGAATTACTGTAAAAAGAATACATCTAAGTAACTGAAGACATATGTAAGAAATAAAAAAAAATTTTAAATACTTACGGTCTCTCACACGATTTATCCTCTTGAATTGAAACGTAGTAGTTCATGTTTCCCTCGTATATTTTTCTCGCTATTCACCGATCGACTGTTGCAGTGAGCCTCCGTCCGAGCTCTTTTTAATTTGTCTCCCCCTCCTTTTTTGTTTCTCCCCCCATTCAGCTAATTTTTTTTATCCATTATTTCGTCAATTTCATACACAAGCCTCTCATCCGAAAAAGTACACAGTATCGTATGATATCGGAAAATTCTAATATTAGTGGAAAAGTACATTTAATCTTAGAAGAATGCATGATTCATCGTTATCTTACGATATCCTAAAACGTCCATGTATATCAAGTAAAAGAAATGCTTTTAGCTCTTAAAATACTAATCGAAAAAAGAATGTGGACTTACAAGTATCGAATCTATTTATCTTTAGTGTATGGGTCATTTCAAAAGTTGTATGTATTGTTTATATTTATCAAAATCTTAAAAAGATTTTTGTCTACAAAGATGGAATGTTCACTCTATAATCTTTTTTTAAAATAAGGAAACTACTTATCTTTACGACAACTGATAAAGTACATGTTTTCTAAAATGAGACGTATTTTAAATATAGTCAACCCTTAGTAGCATATAAAAAGGGAAGGACTCGGATATATTCTGTCAGTTGCACAGCTAAAGTTCCGAGTTCTCGCGAAAAGTTTAGTGTTTGTGATTGTAAAAATGAATATGGAGCAAAGGGAACGTGAATTTCAGGAGCAAGCCAGCCGGCTGAATACGCAAGAAGATTTTATTGTGTGGGAACAGCGTGTCGACGAGTTTATCGAATCGCTTGAAGAAGAGAGTCGAAATAAACGTCCGCGATTATCGATCGGTGTACGACAATCAGTGATTCTTCGTATCGCGCGACTCGAAAGTTGGAAAGACTTGATGCGTAAACGATTCGTACATGTGGGCGCAGGACTCAACGCGGGGCTCAGGTGGCGCGAGATAGATACGAAAGCCGTATACTGACCGGCGCTGTCATAAATTCCAGGCACATCGATCCTGGTCAATTTCTCGATGATGCGCGAAAAATCGTATTTGAACATGTGCGGGATGTTATGCAGATGCATAACAGTATTAAAATAAACACAATTTTTAACGTCGAATTTGAATCGGGTGACAAACGCGCGAATAAAAGCGTTGCCGCAAGAAACAGTGAACTTGTCGGAGCGGGTCCGTGACTCTACTTATTTATACACGAAAACCTTCCCCCGATGCGGCGAGCACGGCTCACGCGTCCGGCCCGTGCGAATGTCACGCAGCGACCATCTGATCGGCCGAAGTCAGCCCTGCCGCCCCTGCTCTATTTTTCTTCGTTTTCTCGACTCACTACCGATCGGAGAGTCAAACGCGAAGCACTGTGTACCTTACGTTAAGCAATAAATCATCTTGTTTTTTCGAGACAGAACTATACGCGAGTGATTGTTCCCCGGACTTCCTATCCTCAACATTTGATGGTCCTTCGAGCTGGATTCCTCTCTTCTCGTCCGCGTTCGGATCTCTCTCTCTCTCTCTCTCTCTCTCTCTCTCTCCCTCTTTCTCGCTCTCGCTCTCTTTCATCCTTCCTCTCCCTCGCGCTTGATCTCGCGAGACGCCGTAGTTTATCTCATCGGGTTGCCCGCGAGTGATCATCGGCCGTCGCTCCGACGGAGCGGCGTGGAGTGCAACTCGATAGGTGAGTGTGGCGTGAGGGTAGGATATGACAGCCGGTAGGAACAACAGAGTTAGGCAATCATCTATTAAAAAATTTGATTGAAGCATATTGCTCAGTACATGCGTTCGCGTAGTTAATGCAAGAAAGGTTGTGTATACACGTTCTGGCGACGACCGTGCCGCGCGCTCGGAGCTCTATGCTCGAGGAGGCTGTGCAAGGCCGTGCGTGTGCTATAGCCGCCACGTGTGCTTCGTGATTAAATTCCTCGACGCCGGGACCTCACCCACGCCATAGCTATCTTCGAAGCAATCGTCAAGAGCTAAAAGGAGCCCTTGTACCGGGTGGAGCGAGCAATCGACAACCTCAAAAAGCTCGGTCGAGAAAAGTAGACGGTTTTCACGCTCGACACGCGCATACAATCTCTGGACGATCATTGGGCCAAATTTCAGAAGCAGCATCACCAATTAATCGCAACTTGCATGGACAAGCAACTCTCGACGCGTACTTCACTGGGGACGTCTACGACAAATGTGCGGAAACGTATCCAAGGCCGAGATGGTTGAAATCTGCGACCGCGCAATCAGGCAGGCCCGGGACGAGACCGGCGACGACGATTCTAGCCGATCCAACTGCTCGCACAAGGAGACCTCACGAGCCCTGCCGAAGATCGCTCTACCGAAGTTCGCCGGAGAATATCACGCGTGGCTGACGTTTCGCGACTTGTTCAAGTCCATGGTCAGCCTCAATCCTGATATCCGACCCGTGGAGAAGCTCCACTATCTCAAGACTCACATCAGCGGCGACGCCGCGCGCCTGATCTCCAACTTCACCATCACCGCGGACAACTACGCTTCGGCCTGGGGTGCCCTGTGCGCCCGATACGATAATAAACGCCTCCTTGTGCACTCTGGATCGCCTGTTCGCGGCCGCTACGCTCACGAGCGGCCGCCGGTCTAAAGGAGCTTCTCTTCACCGTGAAGAGACGCTCGGCGGGCTCGATGCCCTGGGTCCCCACCAAAATCGTGGGATCTCATTCTGCATTTCGTCACCCGGCGGCTCGACGAGAGCTCGCGCGAGGCGTGGGAACTGGAGCTCGGTAACTCCACCGACCTACCCACTTTCGCAACGCTCGAGGAATTTGTGGAGGGACGGATCAGCGCCCTCGAGATGATCGGGCTGCGCGACGTCGACAAGAAGCCGCCCAAGGCTGCCAAGACACCAAAGCCTACAGCGCTCTCGCCACTGCACCTGGTGCCCAAGTTTGCTCCATGTGCGCCGGTGCACACTACGTCGCCGCGTGCCCAGACTTTGCCGCGAAAGTCGTGGAAGGGCGACGCGAAATAGTTATTACGAAAAGGCTGTGCTATAATTGTCTAGGCCGCATCGTTTGAGTGAGTGTCGATCGGCCAAATGCTGTCGCATTTGCAGTGGTCAGCACCACACGCTACTCCACACTGCAATCGCATCGCCGTCCCCAGCGGCACCGACCATGGCGGGCGGTTCCGCCTCTTTGGGCTCGGTCTCGGCATCCGCTCAACCCTCTATCGCCATGCACGGCGCTCCCAGCGCCGCCGCTCCGCCCCGCACTCTCTTGGCGACTGCACGCGTTCGTATTGTCTCGGCTGTCGGACACCTGTCCGGGAAAAAATGAAAGAGCTCTAACTATGTCTGATTTGATAAAATAAGATATAAAGGAATCTGAAATTTAGTTACAGCCAGATCTTATTAGATACAATTTTATCTCGCTAGATCCGCATGGCCCGATGTGATCAGGTCCAGCCAGACATGTTAAGCTATAGTCCGAATTCACCAGATCTGACCATTGCTGTTGTTCAATATTGAATCTGCGATTCAGTTAGATCTTTTCCAATCTAATCAGACATTAACTAATGGCATCAGATCACCTGAGGTATGAGCAGACCTAACGCATCAGATCATACCAGGTCTAGTCAGATCTAAACAGACATATCTTGTCCTCACTAGATCTGAACATATTTGGTTTTTGCAACGTTGAGTTGCTGGCCAAATTGGATCTCGTCGGATTTAATCTGACATTACAATCATACCAGATCTCCTAATATCTAAGTAGACATTATGCGTCAAATTTTGCTAGATCTGTTTAAATCTCGACAGTGCAAACTTATAAAAATTAATTCGTTTTTATCATCAGCATTGATTAATAATTTTTTACCCAATGTTGGACTTTATGTCAAATGTAGATAATAACTTTGTGAAGGAGGAGTTAAATAATTTTTGGCAAAAAAATCGATTTTTACGTAAAAAACAATTTTCTTAATTCTTAAAAAATTAACATGTATGTACGCTCGACAGCAAAATTAAAGCATCACCCATTTTGATCACTAAAAATAGGCAAATTTCAAGAGAGTGTAACTTCGTCAAAAATGATCGTATCGGAATGACCAAAAAAGCATTTTAAAGCTCAAAGT